AATAGCGTATACGGTCAGCGTATTGTTACGGTAGTCGTTAACGGCAACTTTTTGCGGCCATTGTTTACGATGACTGTAATACATCGTAAAGCATCGTTCACGATTGCCGTAAATGGCTAACACGAACAGTCGCCGTTATCCGCCGTATATGGTTGGTGCACGGCCGTATATGACCGAGGGAGATTGACCTGGGAACGAGTCATTCTGTTGAGAAACTCGAATTTACAGTTTTATTCAAAGCATAAAAATTCACTGTTCAAGTTGATCTTTCCTTTTCAAAAGGTTTATATACCTGATGATCCTCCTGATGGAAAAAGTGATTTTCTTGATTATAAATTTCAAGACAGAAGAATATCTCTAGATTTTACCCGACAATATGATGTTCGTCATCTCGATCTTCAATTTCAGTGTTGGAAGTTGCAATCATTAGTTAAAATCTTATCTGCTATGCCTTTGTTAATTACATTAAAAGTTAAAGGTCATTCTTGTTGTAATGAAATATATGGTTGGTTATGTATCGACGTTTGGGATGAAATGTTACAAAATTTAAAGGCATTACAGCGGGTCGATATTGATATCTGTCTTGCTATACCTTTTCATTTAAGACAGAAGACTGCCGCAAGATTCAACGAACTTTCAGCGCAAAAAATTCAAACATGCAAACGAATAAGCCTGATAGCCGGACCAAGAACGAGAAATTCAGGTCTGGGATGTGTCCAGATTAGTGCTTCACTTAGTATGGACTAAATTATTGACGAACTTAAAAAACATTTCTTTATTCGTTATATTTGCTCTGTTAAAACTAAACGTAAAAGTTGTTTTTTTCTATGATTGTTATTCAAAAAATAAATTCATGATCATTCATTCTAATTGTTTTATTCTCATATTGCTGTAGAACGACAAAAAAAATATTAAAAGAATTATTCTGAAGCAATGTTGATATTTTCTATAAAAAATCAGAATTGGTGTTGGTATGAATTCTCTACACCTTTACACATGCATCCACACCCAGTGCATATAAATGAAACAGTGCATCCATCGAGCTCGATACTTCAAAATGTTCAGAGGAGATTCAAAGTAGTATAAATCTAATACAATTGATAGCTTTCTACGAAGTACTATAAACTGAGCAATTGAAAATCAAAAAAATTAAAAAAAAGATTAATATGAATAATTCTTATGCTTTCTTCTTTTCATATCCAAACAGTTAATAGTTTAAAATTTGAATATCTCAGCTTATGTATGCCATATTTTAAATTTGTTAGTTTGAGTATGAGAGCTTTATTTTGACCTGAATAAGTAAACTCTTTCACGTATAAGTCAGACCCCTACATTACAAGCCAAAGCCAGTCAAACTCAAATCCGAATCTGGTAAATTTAGTTGAATCTAGTCAAAGTCAGGATTTGGGTTTAACTGGATTTTGGATTTGGTGCATGCCTAGTTGGGTGTGGTTACGGCTCGTAGATTGAACTAGAACAATCACAACTACATTCACACCCATCCACGGTTTGCATTTCGTTTCGAGATACACAGACGCCAACAGCCACACCTATCCTACTCATATGTACTAGGTTGGAAATAATATTATTCCAGGGGGGGAGGGTACCACCATTATTTCAAAATAGTGTTACTAATGAATTTTATATCAAAGGAAAGCCCATGAAAAGTGAAGTATTTTAGTACTAAATGGTAAGGGTTATGAAAACTTTTGTATATTAAAGCCTTGAAATTTCCAGAAATTTGGACAATAAAATCGATGTAATCCGATTTTAATAAATTGTTGGACAGAAAACCAGGGTCTTTTTCGGGAAAAAATTAAAAGAATTTTCTTCTAGTGATAACAAGACGTGACTCTGACTTATAGTTTCGATTTTTCCTTTGCGTTCTGTTGTTTATCTTGCATGTCTGCGATTGATCATGGGCATTTTTTTGTTTTCTCTCGGTTGGAAAGTTCCAAGACAGAGGGGTCCAAATAGTTTGTGAAACAACATATAAAATTATTTTCTGATCAATATATTTCAAAAGAAAAAAGAAAATATTCTTTCGGTGAAACAATTTACATCTACTATTTGAAAATGGCTGGCGCTTATGACACCGAACAACAAAGAATTATTGACCGAATTAGATGCATCACTTTTCGTGAGGCTCGTGATGCTGGTGCATCATTTATAAATAGAGAATGGATTGCGAAAAAAATTTACCGCACGACTCGATTTGTTACCGAATGGTGGGGAATATCATATCGTCAATACTATGCTGATTATTGAAATACTGGTCTGAAACTCAAATTATCTGCAGCAAGCCAAAACATCATTCTTCAATCAAGTAACCGACAAAGGAAGAGTTGTTCAATTGTGGCAAAGAAAATTTCAGAAAAACAAAAGGAATATGTCACTCCAAGGACAATAAATAATTACCGTCGGACAGAAGGATTAAAGCCATTTCATGTCATTCCAAAAGCATTGAAAACAGAAACTCATATATCGGATCAGTTGCGGTTGTGCGACTGGTTAAAAGATTGGACCGAAGAAGATTTTCTTCATCTTGCACCATCTGATGAATGTTATGTGTGGGTTGTTCGTAGACCAAATTACCAAAACGATCGAATTTGGGCCAAAAGTGTTGAAGACATTGAAGAAGATGAAAGATATCGGGAAATGGTAAAAAATCACGCGTGTATCGGGATTTTTGTTATGTTTACTTGCAAAAGGTTACTATGGGTTATCAAAGATAAAGGAGAATCTTGGACAGGTCAATACTTTCGTGACACGATTTTGACCGAAAATGTGATTCCCTTCTTAGAAAATGAAGAAAATGTTATTGATGTTGATGAAGTTACATTTGTTCATGATAAAGCACCATGCATGCGCGCAAATAAGACTCAGCATTTGGGTGTGGGTGTGAGTTGACAGAAGTACTACACCCATACCCCACACCCACAGACAGGCTCGGAGCCCATTCACAGACCGTGACAGACAGACCCGGAACCCATCACAGACCGTGATAGAGGAACTGTGGTTCTAAAGCATTAGATAAACGGTTAGCTACAAATGTATCGAAAGAAATGGAACAAAACGATTTCCATTTAACTAGTAA